TGCCAAATACTGTTACAATAACAACTACAATAATAACTACACAATCTGGCCTGGTGATGTAAACGTGAGATGATTTGTCGTGGTAATAGAACTTACAACACACCGAGAATCACGGATAACATTACGAGAGACTTGAAACTTTACCCCTAGTGTTATTTTACCTTCTGACTGACTGACTAACTCGCTACCACCACCATGTCTTAAATCTCACTGAATCACCAAAATTATTCAAACATTTAATTATCTCAACAAAATTCACCTCAATGATAAAAAAAAAAACCAAAGACGTGAGAAAATTATGATATATTAAGAAACTTCAAATTGAGTTAAGAGAAAAAATAGAAGTAACAGAATATTATCACGTCTTGGTAAACTGGAAATCGTGAGTAATGGAGTGACGACATTGGGCAAATTAACCTCATTAAACCCAGGTGTGAACTAAGCCCGTAAGAGGGGCCAGCGAGTACACACACACACACACACACACACACACACACACACACAAACTCACTCTTGCACACCAAAACAGATGATCCTTGATGCCAGTTTCCTGCAGTTCTGGTAACTAGACAAACATTGGGTCACACAGTCCTTCACTGGCTAACATCAAGGAATCCCCCATGCTGCTACTACTACTACTACTACTACTACTACTACTACTACGTCTGTCTCTCTCTCTCTCTCTCGTTCTTTTCATTCTCTTTATTTTCCTCCTTTTCTCTTTCTCGTTCTTTTCATTCTCTTTCTTTTCCTCCTTTTCTCTTTCTTCCTTCTCTTCCTAGATGATGTTCTCTTCTCCCATCTCCCATCTTCGTTGCTGTCCCCTCCTCCTCCTCCTCCTCGTTACTGTCCTCGTCTTCTCACTCCTCCTCATATTATCCATCCCACTACGCTTTAATTCATTCCGTCCCGCGCCTCCCACCCCTTCCACCCTTCTCCTAGAGCCAACCCCTCCGATTCCTCTGTCATCTTCTCAGCACCCCTGCCCCTTTCCTCCCTCCCCCTCGCTTCCTCCCATCCCTTCCCCCTTCCTTTAACCTTTATTCCTTCCCACCATCCCTCCCATCACCCTTACCCCTTCCTTCCCTCTCTCCCTCCCTCCTATTGATATTGAAGCACTTTATTTAACCAGAAAAATATCAGTACAGAGTAAACAATAACGACAATATTGACATTGCCGGGAAATAACTATTCTCAATCAAGTGAATAATTGATTTATAAACAAACAGAGCGCAGTAGTAAGTGACAATATCCTCGAGTTTTAACATTTACAATCCAGTAAATTGCCCGCCTGTGCTATCAGTTCTTTTCAAGTAGGTCACTGTCCGCATAGCTCCTGCTTCTTCCCTCCACCCCTCCCCCTTCCCTCCACCCCTCCCCCCCTCTTCCTTCTACCCCTACCCTCTATCCTTACCCCTTCGCTTCCACTCTTCCCTCTATATTTATCCCTTTCATCGACCCTTCCCATTTCCCTTACCTAACTTACCCTTATTAACCTAACCTAACTCAATTCACCTTCATTAACCTAACCTAACCAAACCAAGAAACAAGTTACACAAGATCATTAAGTTAGGTTAGGTTAGGTTTAGCTCGTTCGTGTCACCTGGTAGAAATTCTTTAGCCATAATTCTCTTAACTTGGGTCTAGTGGCAGTAAAAATGACAGTACAGTGTATGGTAATGTGTGGGTCCGTAATGGGCAGGTAAATAAGTGGTAGTATTTGGTAGGTATGTGAGGTACTATGCGGTAGTATTTGGTAGATATGTGGTACTATTATGTGGTACTATTATGTGGTAGATATGAAGTACGATGTGGTAGCAGTTTATAGGTATGTGTGATCATTTTACCACACACATCAGAAATAGCTAACCATTGCCATTTCTATATATACGTTCTTCATAACCTCTACTTTTCTGGTTAGCCTGATCGAAACAACATCACGACTCTATTACATACGAGAGAGTTAAACAAAACGCTAAGATGATGTTGTTATGCTACATCAAAACATAACTAAGGTCTATTGGCAAATTTTCCAATATATGAATGAATAAATTAGGTGGAAATGGGGAGAAAGGAAAGGATAATAAATATTTAACCAGGGAAGAGAATTATTTATGTCCTAACCTTCTTTGTTCTTTATCTCTGTGTGTGTGTGTGTGTGTGTGTGTGTGTGTGTGTGTGTGTGTGTGTGTGTGTGTGTGTGTACTTTTTCCTTCCCTATTAACCTCTATTACGAGCTCCTCATAGTATGTTTACATTAGTCAACTTACATTTTTTCTTCTTCTCTCTACATTATCCTCTCTCTCTCTCTCTCTCTCTCTCTCTCTCTCTCTCTCTCTCTCTGGTACTAAATTTGAGAAGGAAATAGAAACTTATTGCCTTATAAAGTTTTCTCACCAATAATACCGCTTATCTGAGGAGGCCGCGGCTATACACAACCCGATACTATGGATGTAATTCTATAAGAGGTGGTCACTGTTCGGGGCCTTTGATGTATCTTGACAGCGGCGTCACAACCTCGCCCAGGTGACGGTACAACACACCTGGATTTTTTTATTTATTAATACAATACACACGTGTCTTATCGGTAATACTGTACTCACACACCTAAACTATGTATTTCAGAGACCGTCATGGATAAAATGTCGTTCCTTAACTCCAGAATGGCAAATATCCGCCCCAGGGGTTGTAATGTACGCGGGTTTTTTTTTTGTCCTGGTTTTCTTCTCGGAAATCACACTCCAGCCGCCGCCAGCTCCGCCACGCTTGGACTATTGTTCAGTAGTGTTGCCACGACCATTCTCAATACTTAATAACTATTATTCAAGTGCATTTTCAATAGTAACATTAATAAACTTACTTTGTTTGTAATACAGTGTTATTAATTCAACTTATCTTACCAAAATATATAATCCAAAGTAAAAACGAACCACATCTCTATACCAAGTGTTTATGTTCAAATAGGAACTGACAGACAGAGATACGTTGATCAATATACAAGTTTGAGTAAAAAGTACTTGAAAAAAGGTAAGAATTCCCCCCCCAAGAATGAAGCATGTGAGTGTGTCGGGAAAAGAACATTTGTGTCCTAATGAAAGTAAAGTTACGCCAAGAATGTGTGAAGTCACCATGAATGTTCAGTTTGTCTGTGAATGAGAGAGTATCAGATGTGGAGGCAAGAATGAAGGCGAGGAGCCTGTAGGTTTGGTTGACTGTAGGGATGTAGGGTGGGTGAGTCGGCTGCTGTTTGTAGATGATATTACTCCGATAGGCGATCCAAAAGAAAGGTTTCAAAAGTCAGTCAGTCAGTCAGTCAGCCAAGATGAGCAGCGATAGGTGTGGGAGTGAAGCATGTGTAATGATTATCAAACACACTGGCGAGTTTGTAAAGTAATAAAAAAAAATTATATTATACCAAAGTTGAAGTATAGTAGCGAACAGTTCGGAACGTTGGAGAAAACTAAACAATTCTTCCTTTTGGTTCATAACTCATATTCAGGGTGTCCTCTCCTCTCCTTCTTTAATCCTTCCATGTGGTCTGACACTAGCGGGCTTTAAATGGCAAAGTATATACCCTGTGGATTCTTTAGAAGGACCATGCATAAACAAAATCACTACTTGTAAAACTAAAGATAACTTCAACTCGGCTGTTCCTGAACGAGGTGTCATGTCACTCCTGGTGGTGCCTGTTTCGCAGTTGTGACCTTGACCTTTGGCTCTTGTCCTCATAAAATGTAGCGACTCTAAGAACTATCATAATTTAGCTGACGTGTTATGATTGTATACACTGTAGCTGTATCAACCTTCGACATGTGCTGCGGACATAATTACTTACACAGATAAAGACGACACTAACCAACCTACCCAACACAACCTCGTCGACGTAACAACACAAGACACATCCAAGTTAAGTTACTACACACACGGGGACGCAACACTCAACAGGACATCAACTGAACACAAAGATATTATCGACTCATGATACTTCAGAAAAAAATGCGTAAAAAATCATGCCAAAAACAGTAACAATTGTAATATATTCCTATTACCGACATGATAAAATTATTGAACCACCATAACGACAGAAGATTTATTGACATAACGCCAGCCATAAACAGAAGTCACAGACACAGTGTAAACAAGACTCAAGGCGGGTCCCCAGAAGCGGTACAGGTTGTAAACGGAAACCAATTTTATTACATACCTGTCTCACTGAGTCTTAACTGAGGTTTTAAATCTTAAATACATGACAAAACACCTTGGTCAGATGACACATCCAGCCTCATGTATAACCGACCTCCTGGCATATTTAATCGTCAATCAAAATTCCCGTGGAGTAGCTCTGAATATTATTTCTTTATATTAATTCAAAAAGTCCTTCATAAATTTCAAGCAAAATGGTAAAAAAAAATCGACTATCATACCACTTAGGGAGAGAGGTATAAGAGTTTGTATGTCTGTCAATAGTCATAACATCTCACAATGGCAGCTGATTCAACTGTCTTCACCTTCTGGCCCTCGAGGATTTTCACACCTTGGTCTGAAGATCGAACTCTAACCAAGTGTCTGGGTTCATTAAGCTGCCTGTATGGTTCAGTATACACAGTAACTCACCCCAAAGACATTTTACTATACACCTGCAGATGTCCGGAAATTTCTCAGGTATGGACACACGGGAAGAGACTGTTTTTATAAGTGGCCCTCCAGTCAAAGGCACACGGACAGTAATCTCTGGGGAAAAATAGAAATGACAACAACGGCGGAGTCAACAAAAACGAACATCTTGCCTGGAACCATCTAGAAGGTTTTAAAACTTATCAGGAAGTTCTTGATTCGTGGAAGACAAAGAACTTTTTTTTGTCTTCCTATAAAGTTTTGTTCATGAAGTCCCATACACAAGAGGTTTTGGGGAACACTCAAGCGGTATCTTACACCTGAGAACCACGACTAAATTTAGCTAAACACGAAGCTTCTGCACAAAGACAAATGACAACACTTACCTGAAGTTGCAGCTGTGACCTGAAGCAGTGGCAGCAGCAGGAGGGCAAGCTGCAACACCAACAGTTGTGTGTGAATTGTTGGGGGCTTCCTCCTGCCACCCATCTTGCCAGTGTTCATTCGGGTGTTCACTTAGGTTCACTTACGTGTGTTCACTCAAGTCATGAAAAATTTTCACTCAGGTTTTCTAAAGTGTTCATTTAAATTCTCTTAAGTGTCCCTTCGAGTTTCCTTCACACTGTTCAAATATATAAATAAAATATCTTCTGATTTTTTCCTCAGTTAAAATCCCTTTCGTGTCTTTTTCTTGCTACTGTTAAACTTTTTCAGAGACATTTTATTTAACATGTTATAATTTAATGTTAACTTTGGAGCGTTAATTCAGTCCATTCCCTTCACGTTTATGTTAATTAACACTCAAGAGTTTCTGTCGTCATTAATCACTGTCCATTAACATCTGCCAAAAACAAAAACAGAATGTATAAACGTAATGAAGAAAAAATGTATTTGAAAATCTATGCATTCCTACAAGATACTTTTTCATTAATGAGGAATGACGTCAGAGTAATAGGTGACGTCACAATAAACTGGTGATGACACAACATATATCTGATGCAACAAGTAACGGCATAAGTAGCTGGTGACGTCATAAGTAGCTTCTGACATCATAATTCATAGATTAAACCACAATAAACAGATATAACAATAACAATGTATAAACCAAGACAATAATAGATGTTGGACAAGTAAACAACAGATCTTAAGTTCAATTCCCAACCAGAAAAATGTAGGGTTCAAGTTTAACAATTATGAAAGTGTTGAAGCAGCTTTGTCGCTTGTCTCCTTCTCGCCCGGAACACCTCAAACATTTCCCTCGTTCCTTTAACGTTGTACTGGATGACGTCACGTGGTCTGTGCACTCCCTCTATGAAGTACTGGTTGTGTGGGTACTGGTAGGAGGGTACTGGTTGTGTGGGTACTGGTAGCGTGGATACCGGCAAGCGTGGGTACCGGTAGTGTAAGTACTGGTAGCGTGGATACCGGCTAGCGTGGGTACTGGTAGTGTAAGTACTGGTAGCGTGGATACCGGCAAGCGTGGGTACCGGTAGTGTAAGTACTGGTAGCGTGGATACCGGCTAGCGTGGGTACCGGTAGTGTAAGTACTGGTAGCGTGGATACCGGCTAGCGTGGGTACTGGTAGTGTAAGTACTGGTAGCGTGGATACCGGCTAGCGTGGGTACCGGTAGTGTAAGTACTGGTAGCGTGGATACCGGCTAGCGTGGGTACTGGTAGTGTAAGTACTGGTAGCGTGGATACCGGCTAGCGTGGGTACTGGTAGTGTAGGTACCGGTTGCATGGATACCGGTAGTGTGGGTCCGGTACACTGCTGGGAGTGTGAATGACCGGTCGGCCTTGCCCACTTCAGCACCGCCCGGAATGTAAACACCAACATATATATGTGTGTGTGTGTGTGTGTGTGTTTATGTGCGTGTGTGCGTGTATGTGTGTGCTCGAGGCAACACTTGAACTCTTGACAAAGGCACTCACAGATGACTTCAACATGTACACACACCTTACACACTCAGGAAGATGTGTACTTTACCAACAGTCATACTCAACCAATATTTACACCCACTCGTCCCTTCACAACACTTACACAACACACTTACGTACACTACACCTACACTTATTTACACTACACCTACTCTTATTTACACTACAGCTACACTTATTTACACTACACCTACTCTTATTTACACTACAGCTACACTTATTTACACTACACCTACTCTTATTTACACTACAGCTACACTTATTTACACTACACCTACACTTATTTACACTACAGCTACACTTATTTACACTACACCTATTCTTATTTACACTACACCTACTCTTATTTACACTACACCTACTCTTATTTACACTACACCTACACTTATTTACACTACAGCTACACTTATTTACACTACACCTACACTTATTTACACAACACTAACACTTACACTACAGCTACACTTATTTACACTACACCTACACTTATTTACACTACAGCTACACTTATTTACACTACACCTACACTTATTTACACTACACCTATTCTTATTTACACTACACCTACACTTATTTACACTACACCTACTCTTATTTACACTACACCTACTCTTATTTACACTACACCTACTCTTATTTACACTACACCTACACTTATTTACACTACACCTACACTTATTTACACTACACCTACACTTATTTACACTACACCTATTCTTATTTACACTACACCTACACTTATTTACACTACACCTATTCTTATTTACACTACACCTACTCTTATTACACTACACCTACACTTATTTACACTACAGCTACACTTATTTACACTACACCTACACTTATTTACACTACAGCTACACTTATTTACTACCCTATTCTTATTTACACTACACCTACTCTTATTTACACTACACCTACACTTATTTACACTACACCTACACTTATTTACACTACACCTACACTTATTTACACTACACCTATTCTTATTTACACTACACCTACACTTATTTACACTACACCTATTCTTATTTACACTACACCTACACTTATTTACACTACACCTACACTTATTTACACTACAGCTACACTTATTTACACTACACCTATTCTTATTTACACTACACCTACACTTATTTACACTACACCTACACTTATTTACACTACAGCTACACTTATTTACACTACACCTACACTTATTTACACTACACTACACTACACTTATTTACACAACACTAACACTTACACTACAGCTACACTTATTTACACTACACCTACACTTATACACTTACTGTTCTTAACCTAAACATTTATTTACTTACACTACACTTACACTTACGATACACCTATACACTAACGCCTTCACTTACTTAAATAACTCCTATACTTTAACAATACACTTATATTTTTTTTCTTCATTTAATTATTCGTTAAGTTATCTTTCACTGGTTGTAAAGTGTCTTAAGTGTATAATATCTCATACATTTATCTCTCATTCATACACATCTCATACTTGTGTCTCTCATTCATACACATCTCATACTTGTGTCTCTCATTCATACATATCTCATACTTGTGTCTCTCGTTCATACATCATTCATACATACACACTCATACATTCATACACACTCATACACCCCATCACATACTCATGCACACACTCTCTCACAAACTCATTCACTTACTCAGATACTCATACACTCTCATTCACTCATACACACTTACATACTGACACACACACACACACACACACACACACACACACACACACACACACACATTCTTAGCGTTACTCTTCTCTTGTCATTCTCAAACATCCATATTCCTTCATGTCCATATTATTGTCATTATCACTTATTCCTGGAAGCAGTTAGAGACGTGAAACTTTACACACATTACTACATGGGTCCCCTGGCATGTATGTATGTATGTATGTATGTATGTATGTATGTATGTATGTATAACGGATACTTAGAGACAGCTTGTTGCTCATTATAACTATACATTAATTAAGCCGTCCTGACATTTCCTTATATTCATGATTAAGAAAGAAAAGATAAAAAAAATTACAAATTACTCACCACAAGATTAATTATATATAAAAAGCCATTAAGGAATCTCTTCTGAGCCGTATCTGCCACACTCACAAGCTGACGTTTAAAAAAATGCAAACATACTATAGTTGCTTATAGGCCAATAGCATCAAGTCCTCAACAATAGCTTTTAACATCAAATTAACACTAAATTAAGACTAAATTAACACTAAATTAACACAAAATTTAATCTTAGATATTCATATAAATTTAGTATAGTGTCAACATTCATACCGCACGCTCTATATACCATTGTTAACTATTATATATTTCTACAATAATTTTTCCCTCATATTTATTCTAAGTTTCTTTTATTTCTCATCGCTTTTCTCTGTTTTTCTCTCTACATGTAATATTATTTGAGGTGTGTAAGAAAAACAACATTATTGCCCATACATCTCTCAGCCTCAAGGGAGTGTGACATTACTGACTCATTCACTCAGTTACCGACTCATTCACTACTCAGCTACCGACTCATTCACTTCAGTAAATTAAACCGCATTTAGCTGTGCCATTTACTCATCCGTTTGGTACCTGTGTGTGTGTGTGTCATCCACCTCACACTGGACCAGATTGTCAGTCATCCACCTCACACTGACTCAAATTTCCAGCCACACACTTCTCGCTAAAACAGTGCCAAGTTATACACCTCATGCCAGACTAGAGTGACAGCCACACGCCTCACACTAGACCAGAGTGACAGGCATACGGCTCACACTAGACCAGAGTGACAGGCATACGCCTCACACTAGACCAGAGTGACAGTCATACGGCTCACACTAGACCAGAGTGACAGTTAAACAGCTCACACTAGACAAGAGTGACAGGCATACGCCTCACACTAGACCAGAGTGACAGTCACACGCCTCACACTAGACCAGAGTGACAGTCATACGCCTCACACTAGACCAGAGTGACAGTCATACGGCTCACACTAGACCAGAGTGACAGTCATACGGCTCACACTAGACCAGAGTGACAGTCATACGCCTCACACTAGACCAGAGTGACAGTCATACGGCTCACACTAGACCAGAGTGACAGTCATACGGCTCACACTAGACCAGAGTGACAGAGTGACAGTCATACGGCTCACACTAGACCAGAGTGACAGTCACACGCCTCACACTAGACCAGAGTGACAGTCACACGCCTCACACTAGACCAGAGTGACAGTCATACGGCTCACACTAGACCAGAGTGACAGTCATACGGCTCACACTAGACCAGAGTGACAGACAGCTCACACTAGACACAGGCATACGCCTCACACTAGACCAGAGTGACAGTCACACGCCTCACACTAGACCAGAGTGACAGTCATACGCCTCACACTAGACCAGAGTGACAGTCATACGGCTCACACTAGACCAGAGTGACAGTCACACGGCTCACACTAGACCAGAGTGACAGTCATACGGCTCACACTAGACCAGAGTGACAGTCATACGGCTCACACTAGACCAGAGTGACAGTCATACGGCTCACACTAGACCAGAGTGACAGTCATATACCCCAAACGAGAAGAAAATGACTAGTTAAACACTGGCTCTCACGGTTCACAAATTCACAAAAGGCAACACTGACAGGTACGCAGTAGAGTGACAGCTACACACATTAATCACATTCACTCACAAGGTGTCACATACACATTAGACTGACAGCCACAGCATCCCCAAACACTAGATTAGAGTGACAACAGCCGACTAGTATACCGGCGTCACACTAACACACTTCACTCGTGACAGCCACACCCCCCACCCCTATAACAGACCTACAAGCTATACAATTAAGTAACAGTAACACTAGA